TTATTAAACAAGACTGTTGGGTGCTATTTTCTCTGAATGGTGTTCTACAGTAGTCAATGCAGATGCCATTATCAGCTCTCCTTAAATTTATTCTATCTGACAACCAATTTGGATTTTATTTGTTCTTTAATTACTGCAAGGTCAGCTCCTGATTGTATAACTATTCTTTGATGAAATGACTCCAGGCAAACATTGTGTAACACTGAAGCCTACTCTAAGTTAAATTAAGTTTTATTGATCCCTGCAGAGAAATTCATTTGATGCATTTAACCCGTCCTAATAACTAGGATGAGTTTGGCACCAGGGGACCAACTCTACTTCTCTAGCAAGGTTTTGTTGAAGAGCACTTTGAAAAAATTAATTTCGCTGATAAAAGGAAAGTCACGCAGGAGACAGAAAAAACAAAACAAACAAGAAAAAAACCCACATGCAAACTATATATAGAAAGGATCGGCAATGGATGGTGATCAATCTCAGGACCTTCATGTTTTGAAAGGTCAGTTCTAACCACTAAGCCTGTGAACACTAATGTAGAACATTAAATCAACCATGTTATGCTACATCCAGTAATTTGTCACTCAAAGCAGCTTGTTTTTAAGCATTAAGAAAGCCTAAATATTGATTTCATCCCACTGTTAACAATTTCCATATTTTTAAAAAAAGAAAAACATTAATTGTTATGGTCTTTTGTTATTTGGCTGGAAATTTAGACGATTAGATTTTTGTGTGAAAAATCTAATAGGTTAAATGTGCAGCATTTGGCATTTCAGGACTTTCCTACAACACATCTTCATCATTCAAGCATACTTAACTTTAGATTTGAACTGACAGAGATATTGGATACAGAATATTACAACAGTCTGCCTTCTCCCCACTTGAGTAAACAAAAATGTGATCACCGCCCTGCGTGTGTGGAATGACTGAGACAAACAAAGCTGAGGTGGCAGAGTGGAAATGTTGAGAAAATTGCATTCATGTTCCACTTCTATGCCATAAAAAGCTCTTGTGTTTCTCTCCTTGTACACTTTACATCTTTACCCAGTGTGTATTGTGATGCAATCTGGTGTTAAAATGATAATCATATAGTTTTTGGATAATTTACTATCCACAAAAATAGTTGTCAGAAGTAGGAAATATTAATTCTACTAAATTATGGTGTAAAAGTGGCTGCATGTGAGTTAATCAGGAACAGTTAATAGATTTCAAATCCAAATTGCAACTGGACTCAATACATGCAATTAAACTGCAAAAGAGCCAAGTAAGTATTTATTTTTTTTAGTTTAATTAAGTAACTTGGCCCAATCACATCTAATAATTTCATGTTTGATTACTCTGTATTCTATGCAAGTCACAAAGACAAAAATAGTTGGTACAATTCTAACCAGTCAGTATTTGGTATGATTATCTTTATTCGTCAACACAGTCTGAACTCTTTTAGGCAAACTTCCTTGCAGTTTCATGAAGGATAAGAAGAAGAATCGCTGCTTTTTGTTCCATTCTCTTAAGAAGTCAACACCACACTGTAGGGCTGTGGTATATAATAATAATAATAATAATAATAATAATGGATACTTTATTGATCCCCATGGGGAAATTACTTGTTTTTCTCTGCATTTGACCCATTCACTCAGTGAAGCAGTGGGCAGCCCACTAAGCAGGCGCCCGGGGAGCAGTGTGTAGGGACGGTACCTTGCTCAGGGGTACCTCAGGGTAGACGTTAAGTGGATTCGAACCGCCGACCTTCCGATCATGGGGCGACCACTTTACCTACTGAGCTATCCCTGCCCCCATATCATAATGTCTGTGATAACATGGATACATTTTTACATGATAGCCCCATTTCACAATATCCATGATATAGCAACACAATTTGATTATTTCCCTAGCATGCCCCACAACACAAACAACACATAAATCCAGGTGTTGCCAAGTTTTTGGCTAATAGCTCTTTGGCAATCACCTCACTGTTGCAAAACACTCTTTTGTGCTTGTCAAATTGTGCCATCTTTGGCATTTTTTCACTGAATCAGCTAAAGAAATGGGAACAAATGGGACCACTTTAAAAATTAGAAGAAAGTCTGGCTCCTTGAAAGCAAAATATAAAGATTGGCTCACATATTATTGTATTACAATGAATACTGAACTAAAGCGTGACTTGAAAAATGCATATATTTCGCAAGTCAAATCATAATTGTGTTATCTGTGAGAGAAATAGTTAAATATTTTCCCGCTGACTGTTCAGCCATGGAGTAAGCTGCTAGGTACCGGATTTGTCTGGTTAATGTGTAATTTGCTGTTAAAGCACATGCTCCAAGCACATGCCAACGTAAACAACTTTAGCATGGCTGAATCTCTGAGCTTTTCCGTACTGAACCGAGTTGGCCTCTTTTTATAACTACCACCCTAGGGCTACACAGACACACAAAGCAGTACCTCTAACCTACATAATGACAACACAATTTCAGCACACTAAAAGTAAAGTAAGATTACTGTGTTATTATTATTATTATTCCCACAACATCAAAGTGACATTTTTCACAGTAACAAGGCTACATTTGTTAAGTAAATAAAAATCCACGGTCACCCTTTCTAGACAGATGTGCAAAAGAGCTAAGTGAAATCTGTAATTTGTACAGCAAACGTGTACAAAGATATTTTTATCCTTCCAGGAGAGACAAAAATACACAGTGTAATACAGAAGACTGAAAAAAGCCAGTAACTAGTAATTACATCCTGCCTCTGTATAAGAGACCACCATGTTCCCCAGGCAAACTGCCTGTTTTAGGGCTTTGCCCATCTCTCAGAAGTATCCATCCAGCTGCTGTCCAGCCAGCTGTCCTTGTGAAACCTCACTTATTCCCCTCTGAACCAAGCGAATCAGACACACCCTGTAACCTGCTGATCTCACTTCTAACGGTTTCTCTTCTTCTAAAGTCACATGGTGTACAAACTCTAGCGCACACAAACATAGAACAAACACAGACTTTACTGCTCTAGCCAACACTTTGATCAAATAGCTGTAGACAGGGAATATTCTACTTAAATGTAATAAAAACTGGCTGAAACAGAGAGTCTGCTTCACACCTTAAGAGATGTGCCCTACTTCTGCTCAGAAAGTGAGTTATCCCTCCTGGCAACGCTGGGTAAAAATGTGCTCGCATTGGTGTCAGATATTGAAAGCAGGGTGATGGACTGAGAAAATCAGTTCACAAATTTAAGTACATTTAAGTACAATTAAAGTACTCAAGCACATGCAAGCTTGGACGGTAACATGCTAACAGCACACACAAACCATTTGACTAACTGAAGCTAAAACAGATGGCTATCCAATTTAGCTAAGTGTATTCATTACTAAGAAATTAAAGAGTGGGCCAGCAGCTGAAAGCTCAACTTACCTTTCACCTGAGCCCCAGGAGACACTGCATCCAGAAGCTTTTGTTGAATCAGCCTGTCTCACCTGCAGAGATGCAAAAGTTAGAATAAGGTTTCACTTTAACTCGCACAGTACAAACGCTCAAACCTGCCTCACCCCCAACGTCTCTCCCGCTAATGCTCCTCCTGGTCACACCACTGTGTTAGAGCCCCACCCCACTCTTTCCCAGTCCTTATTTCAATAAGTCAGAACAAGCCTGCACCTTTAGCTAAAGTTGACTTGTAATACAATTATGGATCAAATTTCCCCCTCAAAAAAGATCAATGAAAAGAAAAGATTCAATGCTGATACTGTCAATCCCATTTTGTTGGAAAGGAGATTGTGTTTACCAAAACATAAGGAACACAGTCACACTATCATATTTATGGAGAACTACTTCTGTTACACTAGATAAACACACACCCCAGTACGATGTGAATCCAGGAAGACGTGAGGCAAGATAGCAGGAATATGGCTGCAGACAGTTCAATGTCCACATAAGTGAACTTAATTTGATGTTACACATTTACATTCACTCTCATTATTTACAGCTAAAAATTGTGTTTTCACCTCCCATTCTTACATTTGTTTTCCCTTGAAATCCCTTTGAATCACTTTTCTTGAAAAACCTGTCTATTCACACACAACTGGGACATGTGATAAGTCACAAATCTACAAACGAAAACACACACAAGCATCAGTTTGCAAAGCAGCACTGCACTACATATACCCCTAATACATGCAATAAAAAACTGAGAAAATGCATGTATCTGTGCAGATTACACCAATGTTAATAGACGTAATGGTAGTGCAACAAGTGAAAAAACAGGGTGGTCAGGAGTGGTGGAATCTGCGCCTTTAAAATCCTGCTGCTTAGCAAACGAGGAAGCCATAACACTTGAGTACATCTAACCTAAATAAGAAGTGAACTGAAAGAGAATCGCTGAGCTAACAGCACTTGAGGGACAAAGACAAAGAGGGGGGCGAGATCAGGTCAAACACGCACAGCCAATACAAAAAAAGCTGAAAGAAAAATTAGGGGTGTCAAATTATCGCGTTAATTGCGATTAATTAATTACAATGCTATTTAGCGCGTTATGTTTTTTAATCTCGTTAATCTAATTTTTAATCTCTTGACGTCATTGATTTTGTATGAGAGTTGCTATGTTATAAAATCCGTTTTTATGTGCTGGGCTCCTTGTGCTTGACTTGTTGGGGGTGGAGTCACGTCGTGAGGTCAAGGTGAGAAGTGGTGATTAGCTTACAGTGTGGATATGGAGGCGCATCTGAGAGTTGTTGGCCCAATGAACGGGAAATTTGTATTTCATAAACGCTCCGACGGCACCATTGACAAAGGTAAAGTGGTCTGCCTAGAGTGTAAGAAGGAGTTTGCTTACCACCGAAGCAGCTCAAGTTTGGCCTATCACCTCAACGCAAAGCACCCAGCCGCGAGTGCAGCAACAGCTAGCAGTGAAGACGTTAGCAATATAGCAAGCCAGAGCAAAGCTTTTCGCCAAACAAAACTAGAGAATACCCCTCGTATGAGCAAGTCTGCGACCGTCAGGCTGACTAATGTTATTGCCAAGTGGATAGCGATGAACTGTAGGCCGATAAATATAGTAGAGGACGAAGGATTGACAGAGGTGTTGCAAATTGCGTCCAATGACCCGTCATACAAGCCGCCGTGCAGGACTACAGTAACGACCAAAATCAGCAAAATGTACGACGGCGAAAAGAAAAACAAACTTGAGATTTTGGCGGAGGATTCTCCCAACTGTGTTGCTATAACCGGAGATCACTGGACCTCAGCTGGCAACCACAGCTATTTTGGGGTGACTGGACACTTTATTGATAGTGAGTGGAACCTCAACTCATTTGCACTGACCGTCATGAGAACAGAAACCAGGCACTTTGCTGATAAATGCGCCGAACAGTTCCTCAAGGTAGCAAATGACTGGGGTATTGAAAACAAGATATCCACCATTGGCACAGACAGCGCAGCAAACATGCTGGCTGCTATGAGAGCACTTCCATATGAGCACATCGCCTGCAATGCTCACATTCTCCAGAGGACCATCACGGTATGTCTCGATAGCAGTGGTTTTGTCGGTGTACTGGCAAAGTGCCGCAAGATTGTTGGTCATTTTAAACAAAGCCCTGCGAGTACCACAGAACTTAACCAACAACAAGTAGCACTCGGAAAGAAGAGCGATCAACTTATACAGGATGTACCCACCAGGTGGAACTCGACTCTCGCAATGGTCTCACGCCTCCTATGTAACCGAGAGGCTGTCCAGGCTACGTTGGACCAACAGAACCACAGGTTGGTCTTGCCAACCGAAGCTGAGTGGGCGAAACTGCAGAGGCTGGAGCTCCTGCTTGAACCATGCAAGTAAGTTCAAATAAACACCTTCCCATTTTAATTATATAAACTACTGTTACATGTGTAAAATCAAAATTAATGAACATAACAAGGAACTTTTAAGGACAATTAAATTGGAAATCAGTTACACTTTGATTTAAATGAATCCAGCTAGGTTTATTTAGCAAACCTCTCCACCTCTGCAGGTATGTGACAGAGCTGCTGGGTGGTGAGGCCTACGTCTCTTGCTCTGTAGTGCTGCCTGCTTTTCGCCATCTGTACCGTGTCATGGACATTACTGATGATGATCCTGCCTACGTGGTGAAGTTCAAGAATGCCTTCCAGAAGGATCTGGCAGCACGACGAGCTAATGGCAACGAGATATGGTTCGAGGTGGCCACAGCATTGGATCCACGGTTTAAGGATTTGAAATGTCTTCCAAGAGAAAAGAGGGAACAGGTAGGACAATAAGGTTAAGCTGGACTAATGAGTCCAATTCATTATCAAATCAAACTTTTATTTATTATATGGAACACAAAGTTCTTTACAAGATTAAATAAAATTTAAAAAAAAAGCACTTAGTTTTAATCACAATCATTCATTCATTCATTCATTCATTCATTCATTCATTCATTCAGGTGTGGACCATTCTGGAGAATATGCTCCAGGCAGCAGAGCCCAGAAGAGCAGATAGTCTCCAGCCCTCCACAGAGGATGATGGACCAGCTCAGAAGAAGAGGAGGAGCGAACTCCTTCTGGGGTCTGACTCTGACTCAGAAGATGGAATTGAGTCTGGAGAGCTGCAGCGCTACAGAGCAGAACCCAGCATCAGTATTGATGACTGTCCCCTGCAGTGGTGGTATGCTCACTCAGGAGTCTATGAAAAGCTGTCAGTCCTAGCACAAAAGTACCTGGCCTCCCCAGCTACCTCTGTACCCTGTGAGAGACTCTTTAGCCTTGCAGGCCACATAGTGCAAAAGAAAAGGGCAGCCTTGCTTCCAGAAAATGTTACCAGGCTGGTGTGTCTTAGCGACTGGCTGAGGAAGAAGAAATGAGACACATGTGGTCAGCATAGCTGCTGTGTCATTTGTAGCCTACTAGAATAGATTGCTTGATGTTCAGCACTTTTTTTTGTGATGGAAGAATACTTTGATGTGCTAACTTGCAGCACTGCAATGTCAGTTTTATTTTTCATTATCTGAAGCAGAGGAATTTCAGTGCTGTATTGCTCAGAAAAGAGCAACTCTGATGTGCTAACTTGCAGCACTTAATTTATTTGATTTTATTTGTATTTATTTTTCCACTTATTTTACAAAAGAATACAACAGTATGTAAATGGTTGCATCTGTTTAACATTTGTTAAACAATAAATGACTTTATAAAGTCACTTTCTTTGTTATATCAGTCTTTTGGTCTGCCACAATAAGTTGAGGGCTTTCCTCAGCTATTTTTAGGTGAGATTAAAAAAGAGATTAATTAGATCAATTAATTAAAAATCATAATTAATTAATCTCTATTTTTTTTTAATCTCTTGACAGCACTAAGAAAAATACACAAGGAATGAGTAATTTAGCTTGCCCCCTTTTTTTTTTGCTTTAAAGACAAGAATCATGAAATGCACAACATGTACAAACAATGCAAACCACAAGTGAAGTAAGACACCGTGGCCCAGAATGTGTCATGGTTTCAATGGAAGAGTATTTGTTCTCGGGACCAATTCACAGTGCAATAAAGTTAACTGCATAACACATAAAAACTACACTATTACAACTTGGGATTGCACTTAACTCATGACCAAAGGCCAAGAGAAAAGTGTAAAGAACGGACAGTTTATATGCAACACTCTTACTAAAGAGACTCACAGTGTACGATGTACTTCTTTGTTTGGCGCATATCACATTCATACATAGTGGGCCAAATATAAGTCAGAAAGAGAGCAATCACTATCCCTACAATTACAAACAAACAGTGCTGAATAGAATCTAACCAGCAAATTGTATGCTAGTCTTCACAGAAGCAGCTAATTAACATTTATTTTAAGGCATTGTGGGTATGCCAGCATTCATAGCAGAAAGTCAGGCTGGGCTTGTAAGCAATGATAGGAAGGTAACATGTGTAAGAAAGAGATTACAGATGAAAAAATGCAATTAGTGATGGATTTGAACTAAATCAAATGATTGCTGTCTTGCTTTAAACATTTGAAACTAAATATTTGAAACTACATTAAAACACCACAGCAACATTCATGCATTTGTCTATGATGGTCCTCAGTCATCCAGGTCATTGTAATCGAAGGAGCTTGGAAAAGACCTTGACTTGACATTAGAACTGAAAAAGCTTCTCAGATAAGAGGTGAAACGTCTTCAAGCAACTTAAAGAAGTCCAGACGCTTTTCTTTCCAAGCTCCTTAGATTCATGCATTTGGTTTTTACAGCACTTCCTTCAGGAAACAACTTTTACACAGTACAGTGATATTAAGCCTCTGTTGTGATTTTAGAAGGAAATATTTTAAATTTCCCTACTGAAAACTGAAAAGATTTCCAATGACATAGCTCTCTGCTTTGGCAGCTATGCCAAAGTGCCAAACTCAAGTTGCTTAGCAACTTGAGTTGAGTTGATTGGTTGATGAGGGGCAAAGATCACTGCAGTGCAAAAAGATGCAAAGCAACAAAATTATTCTGATTCTAGATCCTTTACATTGCACATTAAAAATGTTTGATTCATTGCATCTTGTAATTTCATAGCATAATTCTGTTGCATGTAACCAGTTCTCCAGATCAGCCAGACTTGCTTCAAATCAATATAAAAATAGGAACAGTGTGAATAATAACTAGACTAGAAATAGGTTTTCCAACTTGATATAGTACTGGCTGTAACATTATAGCCAACCCATGAAACATTAACAATGTCTGCCATTCCAACTGAAAATATTTTATTCATCTTTGCCCAATAAACCAAAGTTCTGGACTTACTGTAACAGCTGTGCTTTAAAACCCTTCACTTCCTCTAGGAGTCTAAAAATCCACCTTTTTATCCTGTCAAATTGAACTGTCTATCCTGTAACAATCTTGAACAGTTCTGCTGACTTGAGGTCATCATTTTCCTAAAGATTAAATGGATACAAATAGTCCTCACTTGTACTTGTGTTGGTACTTTTATCACGTCAGACAGCCTTCGTAAGGAAGGCCTCTTATCAGCAGCCTCCTTCAACAACCCTCATCTCTGACCATGCAAACCCACTTAGGTAAACATAAGGCCACAAAGGATTTTGCTGTGACCATAGCTAGACATCAACAGTCAGATATAAAGTTAGCTTCTGTCTTTTAAGTGAAATGTCAATTTGACAAAGACTTTCACTTAACGTTGAATTTGAGACTATGATCCATATGAGCATTGGGTAATAGAGGCAGGTATTTAAAAATGTTCTTTGGTATACGGGAACTGTCTGTCCAGTGAAGACAGATAGCACAGATAAACAGAACATAACCTTCTATCAACACATAAAAATCAGTCTGCTGAGACACAGAGACACAAAGTGAGGACTCACTGTCTGTTATGGTCACAATTTAAACTCAATGCAAAATTTGGCTCTGGGTCTAAGGCCACTTAACATTAAGTGTATTCATGTCGCTTAAAGACCAATGTACTAATCGCATGCCATCCTACTTTGGGGTCTATTGTTTGAGCAGTCTGGTATAAATCAGGGGCATCACAAACTGGAAAAATCACAGTTCAATCCAGCAAAATGGGACCAGCTCAGCGTCGTGCACCTGAAGTCGAGTGTTTTGACAGATGCATGAAACTATACATGTTTAGACATAAGTTGAAACTGCCGTAATTTTCTTTGAGAGTATTTATTACATAGCGTGCTGCAGGGAAAAGCCTGTTTTAAGGTTTAGGTTTTTTAGCTTCTTTTTTTGTTTTTTAGAGTTAGATGGGAGCATTTATCAATTTAATCTCTGTGCCTTCAACAAAAAGATGAGAGCAAGATTTGTTTACATAAGGACAGAAAAGCGGAAGCAGAGAGGAATGCTAGAAGCAGACTCACATAAACACTGCAGGGCGTAAGGCAGCACAGATAAAAGCTGCAGCAGTGATTCAACAACCTCCTATGAACAGCATAGATTTTTTTTCCCTGCGTGACACTCAATCACTGTTGGAAACCACTGTAATGGCATAAATCATACTATTCATGATCAATAGCTTTTAAAGCAATCTCTCCTAAAAGTGTAGTGTAGTGTCACTTTAAGACTGAAGTCAGATGATGGTCCCGTGTCATGGAAATCACCCATCGTCTCGGACCCAATGTTACTTTGAAAGGTGAAGGCAATGCTTGTTTTGTTGGAGTGACTTGGCATGTTTATCTACAGATGGATGTCACAAGTTTCCATTTAGTGTAACAGAGCCACTTTCCCCCTGTTAACTACTTCATTAGGAAAACAGACGACATAGTAACAGACAGAACGCTAACACTACTGATCCCTAAGGCAAAGCTGTAGAATTACATTAACAGCTATTAATGGATTTGTCTGGCACCAATAAAACGCATGTCATAAAAACATCAGGCAAAAATTCAACACCAATATCATCCTGCCAGCACAGAGGATTGTGATAACCCTATAAAGTGGAATTTGACAAACTGATGACGTAACCAAGCCTCTCAGCAACACCTCATTTGTAAACAGAAAAAAAAATGCTGTGTTAAAAGTATGTCCGAAATCTACAACGGCCCTGCAGTAAACTCAACACAGATGCTTCAGCTTATCCCAGAAAACTACAGATTATCAGCGTCTGACATGGGCAGCGCACAGTGCCAATCATTTTCAATGACGGAACAAAATCTCCTTACGAGCCCTGCCACTCAGAAACAGCCGTAAAACAAATGGAGACTTTTAAAAGGATATTGCATCATAGTTAATGTAGCTCATTCACAAAATCAAACAAAAACATTATGAGCGGAAAGTCTGAATAGCAGTAGCTTAATCCATATGGCTGCTTATTATTTAATAACAAAACAGTGAATGTATTCCATGTCAACAAAACACAACAGCATCTATAATGGACACTTATTTTAAATAAATCAAGTTTTACACCCACAATATCCACACAGCACACTGGGCCCTAACCAAAGCTGTCAGCATTTACACAACCACCAACTCCATGTAGTAACCTATAGAGAGGTGGATATTGATTGCAGAGGCACTAGCTACTGCGAGAATACTCGTTGGCAGTCTGTAGAAAGCTGAGTGGTGGATGTATGGTGTCAAACCTGCTCTAAATACAGACACCTGCTGGTCAGTTTCCTTGGAACAAAGTAAGAAGTCACTTTCTAAGGGTCAGGAGGTCAGTCTCAAATGCTTTATTTCTTTGTGTGTGTGTGTGTGTGTGTGTGTGTGTGTGTGTGTGTGTGTGTGTGTGTGTGTGTGTGTGTGTGTGTGTGTGTGTGTGTGTGTTGGATAAATCAAGCAGGAGACACGGAGAGAGCCCAGAGTTTTAAAATCCTGGCTGTCGGTTGTTAAATCATATAGCAAAATAATTGGAATGCACTGTTTGATACACAATTCATCAAAAAAAGAGAGAATCTAGTTTTCAGTTCCACATTTAAACGTCATGATCGTGGTTTCACAAGCCTTTGCCTCACTCTGCAGGGTTGATTTCAGATCAACGCAAAATGCCATTGTTTCCAGACCTGTAGGGTGTTTTACTCAGTGTTAATATTAGAGGAAATAAAACCATAACTGCAGACATTTACAAATTACAAATTTATAACAGAAGTCCCACTGACTTTTACATAATAATATCTGAGCAAACAATGTGTGCATCTGGATAAAAGCGTTACCCATGAGGGAATAAGAAGACATTAAACATTTTTGTGTTTTTCTGTGCTCACATAAATACTTTTTCTTCTTGGAAAAAGTGACATTCTGTGACAAAAATGGCCTGTTTTAAAACATAAATGTCAGCTAGCATCTGTAAAGTAACTTGTGATGAAAAATTCTGCCGGGGAAGAGAATCTTGGAACAATATGGGCTACTAAAAGTGCGTTCGCTCTCTAGGGGCAGAGAGGAAAATTCAGTATGGAGCAGTATTAGCCTAGATTCCCCCAGTAGATGTCGGGGAAAGCATTTAAATCTCAGAGGAACTGGAAACAGCACTGAGCCACTTATCAGCCCTGGAATAGGACAATTCCACTTTGAAGACCAGCCAGATTCAAAGTAGCATTTTAAAGGGAAGAGTGTGTTTTGGAAAATTGCCATTTAGATACACAGAGACAATCAGGATCAGAGAAAATATCTGATTTCCAAATAAAAACAAATAAAGCAGCGATTAGCATTTAGACTGGAAGACGGAGAGGACCTAGCACCCGTCATCAACGCCTAGCTGGCTTCTCCTGTGGAGACTGATCTACAGGATGCAGTGAGATGTGGTATTTTCTGCATATCCTTCACAGTACAGCATGGAAGTTGGGACATCTGTTGCTGTGTCTTCCTGCTAGAAAAAGCACT